TTTATTTATTTATTTACATCATCTTACAGTCCTTGGACCAATTACAAGATGAGATATTAACCTAAACTAAATATATCACATGAAAAAAAATGTTATAATAAAAACAGTTGAAATATTCTACAAACTTATATAAGTACAGAACAATAAAAAGCACAATGCAAAAAAGAATAAATAAATTAGGTATTTAAAATTAAAATTAAGTTTCTTATTGTTTGCAAATTGCATGAAAAAATATCAAAACTGTCTTGCAAGTCATTGTATTTATCACACATAAAGTGTACTGGAGAAAATTTTAAAACATTTGTTTTTGCACCTGGCAAATAAAAGGTAAAATTATTTCTTGCAGTAACACGAGGAACTCTTAAATACAATTTACTCAAAAGATAAGGGCAGTCGATATGATTATTTATGAGTTTAAACAAAAATACTAAAGATGCTTTTATTCTGCGGTCCTCCAAACTTTCAAAATTAAACCTTTTTCAACTTAACTCTTTAAAACGTCAAAATGGAGACGTCACATTTATGACTTTTTAATGGGATTTATTTTATCTCACCGCTGTAACTGCTTGTGTTTGCTTTAAGAAGCGGTGAAGTAGAATTTAGAGCGTGCTCCATACCAAACGGAAGACCTAGATAAACGGCTACCCGATATGAAGAGCTCCAAAAAAGCGAATCTGGCCGTCTATCGGTGGGTGAAGAGCAAGAAAGGGTTCCTCAAGAGTTCTTTTTTGAGAAGTCTTGATTAGTTCGATAGGTGGCGCATTCGAAGTCTTAAGAACTTCTTTAAAATTCTTTCTGATGTTGTATCTGACGTCCAAATCATAAAATAAAGCTTAACGGCCATTTCAAGCGGATGGACGGGACAAATCACAAAACTGTTTTTATAAAAAAAATTGTAAGTAATTTATTATATATTATTTTTGCATCAAAATTGTCAAATATATTCTTCTATTATTAGGCTATACAAAAAAATTTAAAAAAACACAAGAAATATTTTATAAAAGTAGAGAAAATTTCAATAATTGACAGGGGATGGACGGGACAAGATAAATCTTTTTTTGTCCCGTCCACACCTTTCAATTATTAAAATTATATCTACTTTAATAAAATATTTCTTGCATTTTTTTAAATTTAATGTATAACCTAATAAAAGAAGAATATTTTTGACAATTTTGATGCCAAAATATTATATAATAAATAATCTACAATTTTTTTTATAAAAACATTTTTGTAATTCGTGCGTTTCGCGCGCTTGAAATGGCCGTTAAGCAGACTTAATTAAGATGTCATATTGCTATCTGGGAAGTTGCGTAATTACAAGCTCATTAAAACGAAATCTATAAATTGGAAAAAGCCAGCGGTTCTTAAAATATTAAAAAAAAAACTAAAAACCTTTTAAATGTGAAACTTCTTTTCAAAATTCCCAGGAATACCTTTAGGTATAACTTAGAAGTTATAACGATTTTTGGTTTTGACTGGGTTTCAGTTTTTTTTAAATTTATTTGAGAACCTCTGATTATTTTTCCAATTTTTAATGCCTTTTTAATAGACGCGTAACTTTTCTATAATTTAACCGACCTTGTATCTCTTTAAGTAAAAATGATACCCATACATAGAAGGATACTTGGTGCACCCTGTATATGTATTTAAACAAAATAATTATTTTTTAACGCTTTAAAATTTAAATGAGGAACGCAGTCCCACAATCACGATTTGTTAGTTGAAGCCAATTTTGTCCTACTTTTTGAATAAACTTAATATGGGTTTGAAAGAAAACTGTCACAATTCACCATTTTTTAGTTTCTGATACCATCTAACTCAAAGGTCCATAATAATATGGGAAACAATTTTAATGATTAAACTTATTCGGTAACCTCTGGCAGCGTTTCCACTTATAACATAATTATCAAATGGTAGGTAATAGAAATTCCTCTAAAAGCAATGTTTAGTGTACCTATCTATTTTCAACAAAAGAATGGAATAATTATTTATTTCATGAAGAGGAAACGCCATCTGTATTCTTACTGAAATAAAGTGTGAATTCCCCATGCGAACAATATGATGCCCACAGCATCATGCTGACCTTTTAATGTCATGTTTAACTATGTGATTATGGACAGTCATTTATTACATTGTGATAAATGACTGTCCATTTTATGAAAATTTAAAGTAGGCTATCAATATTTTTTAGTTATTACGAAATTGGCGTTAAACTTATTTTACATAAATATGGGATTGCAAACCCATGGGTTTCTCATTCAAATGTCAAAATGTGGAGAACAGTAAATAATAATAATTCATGTTACGTAACATATGGTACCATAAGGGTTATATCAATAAATAAACATTTTTATCTATTTTTTGTTCATAATTACTTCATTATAACACCGCTTTCGGTGCTGTAATGAGGTACTTTACCCCACCCAAAATTTTGATTTTATAGGTTGGCTAGCATACTGGTAAAATAATATTTTGCATATTGATTATAATATTTTTATGATTTTTCTAGTAGGAGACTTTTCTGGCAGTATATATATATATACGGCGATGTGCGTTTTGATGCCCCTCACGGCTGTTATATGGGTATATATACCCATATAACAGCCGTGAGGGGCATCAAAACGCATATGGCGATGTGCAGAATTATGCGTGCAATATGTTTAATTTGTGAAAAGACTGGATTTGTAAAGACTACATTTGTATAAAAAATATACATATTTTTATTTTTGAATTCCAAATTGGAATTGAACTTAAGATCAACGTGGATCTTAAGATCACGTTTATAAATTAATTTATTTATGAATTTGTATAAAGATACCTTATTTTAATTAAAATTAAATATCTTTCTATAAATGTAGACAATTGTCACAAAAACTAAAATAAATGACTTAATAAAAGATCTTTATCTACTCCTATTGTATAATTTTGATTATAAATGCCCTGCCTAACAACGTGAATAATAAACTTATTACCCACTGTGATTTAAACCAATCGGGTTTTAAATTGGAAGAAGGCGACTATAATAACATTTAAAATTGGTAAAAAGTGAGGTTAACCATTTAACAGATGTAAGATTTTATTTATTTAATTTTAAAATCATTTAATTATCTACTTACTTATTGGAGTAGATAAAGTATGGTATTACACTCGAGATTATGCGCAATATTCACTTGTAAACCTCGTGAACAATAGCCTGCATTATCTCTCGTATAATAAGTACCTATTTGGATTATTACTTATTGACCAAAATTTCGCAATATATCAATTTTATGAATGATTAACTGCTGAGTTTTGGACTAATTATATCTAATGGTCTTCAGGTAATAACTGAAGACAATTAAAGATAATTAAGTACTAATCTAAACGTAGGAAAAATAATCAAATTAAGGCAATGCAAGTCCAAAATTCACCTGTTAATCATGCCCAAAAAAATTTCTTCAACCATCACATGTGCTGGCTATAAGAATCTCAATTGATGACGCAAATAAAGCATATAATATATGTGACAAACGTGCGGATTAAGAATCACGTTGTGACTGCAATATGCGTCAATTATGAACCTGATAATGATATCTGGGTATACACAACACCAGTCCTAGTACACGCATAGCTGTAAGTCTGGGCAAACTAACTAAGGCATTACAGGCTGAAACAATGGAATATAATGACTTATATATATATATATATATATATATATATATATATATATATATATATATATATACTGTACCTACTACAAAATGAACGTCATCTGTTTTAAGTCATTATATAAATATTCATCAAAACCAGATGTGGGTGTAATATTTCTTTATTAAAGCAAGTACAATGACTATAATATAAAATGGACGGACATTATTATTTATCTAAAAGTAAGTAGAAACACATTTTAATTTTTTAAAACAAATTTGACAAATTATGTTTTCATTATGTAGGTATATAAATATTACATAAATTATTAAAAAATACTTACAATATTTATTAGTAATGTGATTTATGAAAATGTTTGCGAAAAATCATTTTAAATAAAAAACTATGTATAGGTACATAATTATTGTATGTATAACCCATAAACATTTTAAATAAGTAGTGTTAAGTAAAGTTAATTTGAGCAAATTATATAATGGCAGTGTTAATTTCATCTTAATCTAATGTTCTTTGGTAAAAATGTGCTATTTTGTTGTATCTATATGCATTAGGGTGAAGCGAAATATGAATAGTTTTAAAATTAAAAACGCCTGTACATAAAAAAATTGTGTATAATAAAAAAAAATATTTTGGTGAAAAAAAAGTATTTTTTAATTACTTTCACCGCCCCAGAGTTATCCTAAATATAAAAATCATAAAATTCAGAAGGGGAGAAAAGGGTAAAAAAAAAATTTTAACTTTTACAAAATTGGGCACATTGATTTAAAAAAAAAGCTAAATGGGGGCTCCCGGTCAATTTTAAAAATACAAATATCTTCATATTTGACACTGACTGGGGGTCCGCCCATTTCGCTTATTTTTTTTATTTTAATCAAAGTGTCCAATTTTGAAAAAGTTACTGATGTTCAAAATAAACATGTTGGTGCCAAAAATATATATATTTTTTAAATTCCTTCCACAGCCTCAGAGCCATGGCAAACACAAAAATTATAATTATAATTTGAGCTTGGTCAAAAAACGGTAGTAATATAAATATTTATTTTTTTCAGCCAAGTTGTTTATTTTGAGCATAAGTAACTTTTCCAAAGTTGAGCACTTTAATTTCAAAAAAAAAAACAAGCGAAATAGGCGGACCCCCAGTCAATGTTAAATATGGATATATTTGTATTTTAAAAATTGACCGGGGGCCCCCATTTACCTTTTTTTAAATCAATGGCCCCAATTTTGGAAAAGTTAGTTATGCTCTAAAAAATAATTTTCATATTTAGGATAGCTCTGGGGCGGTGGAAGGAATTAAAAAAATATTTTTTTTCACCAAAATACTTTTTTTATCATACAGAAGTTTTCTATATACAGGCGTTTTCAATTTTAAAAATATTCAAATTTCGATTCACCCTAATATGCATCTATGATATTTAGGGGAAATGGTTGCATATAAACATTAAAATATCTACAAGTTAGTAACTGATACTTGATCATTAAGGATGTCAGAACAAACTAAATTAATAATAACCTAATAATTCGAGTTAATTTAATGATCTACTTAATGTTATTAAATAATAATTTTATTTTGGTTGAGGTGTGGTAGACCTCCTATAAGTAGAGGACAACCCCAGGGCTGGGGGTAAGCTGGCAGTGTTAGAAAGTGTATTATCTAATTTTCTTGCTTCGTGTTCCAGCAGGAGCGCGTCCAACGAAGGATCCTGCGACACGGTGCGTAGGGAATCACCGAGCGCTTGACGCAACTGTTGCATTTCGCGGCCAGCTTTTGAGCTACGCATTACGTATTGCTGTCTCCTCTTGATTTCCTGGTTTAATTGGTCACGTAAAAGGGTTACCTGAAAATGTTATAAAATCTTATAAATTTTTGTTCCATTGCATGATTTTATATATTGATAATTTTTAAGGTTTCAAATACAAAAAACTCTCCCAAATTATTTTTGTACTTTAAAAGAGTGTTCTTGTCTATAGTATACTCATCAAACGTTTGAATTTGTCATTTTCATACACTTTTCTATAGCCAAATAATGACAATTTAAAATTTAATAATGTTAAAAATGTAATATATATTATTGCCCATTAATTAGCTACCTAAAAATAATTTTTTTAAAAATAATCACATTAATTAACAACAAATTAAAAAAGAATTGGACAGGAAGTGGTTCACCATTAGGTCTGATTTTCAAGAAGTTCTATTTAGAAATACTTCATATTTGTACGCAGTTCAAAAGTCAAATTTTATACACCGCCGTACAATATTAAAAATACATTAAAATTACATAATAAACTTACAGTTCACTGTTGAATAAATTTATGTACATAACCTAAATGCTTGAAAATAAAATATTATAGGTATAGGTATACAATACGACGGAGAAAGCATATTAACTGCCTCGCTTATATATATATATATGTATATATATATATATATATATATATATATATATATATATATATATATATATACAGCCTCGGCTAAGGCCTCGGTAGCCAACACTGAGCTCGGATTTAAATAAGCACTTTCTCCGATTCCAAATTCGTGCTCGGTATCAGCTCTAAAAAAAGTTTTTCCTATTGGCAATCCAATTTGTAAAATAATATATTTTACCTCTTGTCCCAAAATTTCTATGCTTTTTATTTTCTTTAATATAATATACACTCAGTTTCAAAAGTCTTGCACCACCCCCGTATATGACGAAATGCTTGAATATTTTAAATTGCACTGGTAAAAGAAATTAGTAGATATGTTTTTATATAGAGAACAAAAAAATCATTCAAAAAAATGTTACGTTTATTTCGCAAAACATTTACAAGTGCAAATAATCATTTTATGCGTCCTGTTTAACGTAGTAAAATATTCGTTAATAAAAGCAAAAATGCCTGGAAATCCATTGTCCCAAGAAATTCGATTAAGAATAATTTTTTTACACGAAGAAGGATACTCTTATCGGCAAATAGCACACAGATTGGGGACTCGAACTATTCAGAGGAATGATGAAACGGGCACAGTGGAAAATCGACCCCGAAGTGGCCGTCCAAGGGTAACAAATGACAGACAGAATCGCTACATTAGCCAAATTGCCCGAAGGAATAGGTCTGCAACCGTAAGTAGCCTTAGATATCATTATCAAGCTACGTACCATCGAGTAATATCAAATGCAACTATACGGAGAAGGATCATATGGCCACTGGTTTGCGGTCCAGGAGACCTTTAAGAGTACCTCGACTGTTACCTAGACACAGAATACCTCGTTTGGAATGGGCCCGTGATCATCAAAATTGGCTTTTACCCCAGTGGAGAAATGTGTTATTTTTTGATGAAACAAGAAGGGGCCTAGTCAGCGATGATAACCGAATTCGAGTATGGAGGGAAAGGGGAGACCAGCCAAGACTTGCTACCTGTAGAGAAGTGGTACCATATCAAGGAGGAAGTGAAATGTTTTGGGGAGGCATTATGTTCGGAAGAAGAACAGCTTTGGTCCACGTTCCTGGTACGATGACTGGTCAACTCTAAATTGATCTTATTATACGGCCCATTGTTCAGCAAATGCGAGCTGAGATAGGCCCTAATTTTATCTTTATAGACGATAATGCTCGCCCACATCGCACAAGAGCTGTCCAGGAAGTTTTAAGAGTAATTTAAGGTAATATTGAAGGTATGGTATGGCCAGCTAATTCTCCAGATATGAACCCTATAGAACATGTCTGGGATTACTTGTCCAGGGCAATTCGATATCGCCTCAACCCTCCTGTTACCACGCAAGAGCTTGTTCAAGCTGCAATTGAGGAATGGAACAATAGGCCTCAAAATTTGATTGACAACCTTATAAGAGGGATGTACAGACGTGTTCAAGCTTTGCTTCAAAGTAGGGGTGGAAATACAAGATATTAAGTTTAGTATGTTTGATATTTTCTAAAATAAAATTAATTTCTGTTAAAATGATTTGTATTATTTTTAATAAAAATTCCTATTTTTTTCATGTGACGTTTTAAATACCTGAAATTATCAAGTAAAATACAAAATATTTATGGTATTTAAGAATTTAAGGTACTCCATTCTTTAACGATATTTTAAAGTAATATTACAGGGTGGTGCAAGACTTTTGAAACTGAGTGTAATATAATATCCTCCATTATACTCAATAAAAAAACAGCAAAAAACATTTTGAATTTAGGAATTCCTTTTGATCAATTAACCTAAAATTTTGGAAGAATTTTTTTTTTTTTAATATTTTACAGGGTTTCCCAATGGGATGCTCTAAAACTTGAATTTTGACCTGATACAGCTAAACCAAGCACGGATTTGTAATCTATGATCAAAAACTAAGTTTTTCTACTCCTATTACGGAATTTGACCTTTCTAATATCACTTTTATCTATGGAATGACATATATTCCGTAAAGTGTTACAGAATAAAATATTCATCTGATGACAGAATAAACACCCGTGGCGACATCTCAGTTTTAAATGTCTAACAAATTTTAGACCGATCCAACCGCACTTTCTTCCAATTAAATTATTTTTCTATGGTATTTTTTGTAAACGTAGAAAAAGTATAGTCTGAAACACGTTCGTGTGACAAACTCTTCACTCGAGCGGAATATGCTGTATTCCAAACTTACAGAATATACTATTCCATGTCCGAGTTTTTAGCTGTGATATTTTCACCTTCCTGCAGTGTTATGATTCTTAACAGGGGAGGGTGGGCTCAAATCCCGGTGGCCGCTATGTCAGATTGGCCGAATGGTCATCTAGACTGGCCCAAACGACACCTAACGACTTATGAAAATTTCACCCCTTATAATTTCACATAAATCTTCGTATATTTTATTGGTTTTTTTATTTAACTTTTTTTCGAAATAATAAATTTTAAATATGTACATATTCTAAAAATGTAAAGGGTATTTGTTTTTTGTCACATAAGAATTTCTATAGTACCTATATTGATTTTAAAAATTCACTATATTAAATATTTTTATAAAAAAATATGTGTTTTTAGGGTATTTTTCTGTATATTAAGTAAACACCCAAAACCCCCCGTGTGCACCGGCCTGGTTATACTAGTTTGTGTTTCATAAGATCATAAAAGGGTCAAAAAATGAATTTTAACATAATTTTGGTACAATTTTTAGTAAAATAAACATAAGTAAGACTAAACATTCAATTTTCTTAGTTTCTTTAAGAAACTTTCTTGACCCATCACTGGTAATATTCATAAGAATATATAAGTAAGACTGCAGATTTTTGTGTGATTATTGTGTGTGAGTATCATCCAGAAAAAACGTTCTAAACAAAAATTTTAGTTCGTTATCCATGTAATACTTGGATTTGCATAATGCGGTATTTATCTGTCTTCAAAAAAATAAAATAAAAACAAATAGGTAAGTTAGGGGGGGATTTTTGCATATTGCTGTGTTTGTCTTAAAAAAACATACGTGAGTTAGGGGGGGGGGTAATTGCAACCCCTTTATTCGCGCATACTTGAATTGATTTTTGATTTTTAGTGTTCAAAGAGAAAAATTTTCACTTTACATTCAGCCGTGATTTCCTCCTGGGGGGGCTGTCAAATTTAGGGCCGTCCATGAATCATATAAAGCTGGATGGGGAAGGTCTTTTTAAAACGTCAGGTGACAAAATAAATCGAATAAAATTGATTATTCGTTCCATTTTTATCAGATCGAGTACAAAAAGAATCAGAAAAAATAAGTTAGGGGGTAGCAGTTTCCATAATTTGATAATCTTTCCATCGTCAGAAGAAAGTGAAAGGGGGTCAATTTTGACCATTTAAAACCCTCCTGAGGGGGTTTGAACACCCAAAACCTCCCGTGCGCACGGGCCTGGCGGTACCTACCTTTAACAATGTATTTTCCGTCACAAATATTACGTTTTTTCTCGCGCACCCCGGGCAACAAAATCCCAAAAATTTACGAACTTTTGTCCGATCCCAGAGATTTTTTTTTCATATTCTGTAATAATTATGTGTCACCATGTTAAAAAAAAATTACCGATTGAGAACATTACAAAACAAAAATTTGTTTATAATTTGGTAAGTACCAATTTTTTTACCGAATATTTAATTTTTATGATTTTTTTTCGATTCAGTAGTTTTTGCATGAAAAATTTTAGACAAAAAAATATAATTTCTTGAGTTACAATACCAATATTTAATTTTGGAAAACAACTCCGCGTGAATAATCAAGGTACCACTTCCACTTTATATACAAATACTTAAGGATTTGGCGGAAGGGGTTGTAAAAAAAACAAGGTGGGACGCTATTACAAAAACCGTCCCGGGCCATTTGAAACATGCCCATCCGCCCCTGATTCCTAATAATATTTTTTTTATTAATTTTTTTCATATATCTGATTTCCTCTTCAAGAAGTTGTTAGTTGCAATTTGTGATAAATAAAATGTTTAGGTAACTACCTACCTAAACCAAACACATACATTTTAATTAATGATTTCTTAAAGTAATAAAGACGGCGTACCAAATTTTCTTCAGAAAAAATACCCAATAATGTAATATAACCTCAAACATAGAACAAATCTCCGATATCTCACTTTGGGGTAAAAATTTTTTCGAAAACATAACCTAATGGACTACAGATTAAATTACAGCGCCCCAAGTTACTTTAGAAATAACGTTTGTCTAAAGCCTTGTAGACTACAGAGTGTAATCTGAACTCCTTTTTTTTGGTACCTACATTTGTAAATATAAATCAATATTTACCTGATTTTCTAATCTAGACACTTGTTGTCTATGACTTTGCTCTCTAGCCTCCAAAAGCCTTTCTGCTTGCAGCTGCGCAGCCCTGTACCGTTCGATCTCAGCCCTATCGAACTTAGAATCCAAGGTAGGTCGTTGATTTCTTATTCGTTTCAACTCCGACTCTTTTTCCAATAATTCCGTTTCTAAACGGGATATTTTTAATTTTAATTCCCGATTTTCTTGTTCATATTTGTCCTGTTCGGTTATACTCGAATCAGCTTCGTATTTTTCTGGGCGTTCGTACGACTTACATCTCATACAAACTGCGACTGATTTTGCTGATCTCTCCAAGCTGCGCTTCTCAGCTTCTAATTGTCTCAACTATAAAGATATATTATTAGTTACAGATTTTTATATTTGTTATCATTATTAAAATAAAATACCTTATTATTAAGAGCATCAATTTTGCCTCTCATCTCATTTCTATCTCTATTTACCATATGCAATTGAGTTTTTAATTCTTCTTCTTGATGACCACTCATGGCAGGTTCTTGTGGCCATTGGGCTAAACGTAACTGAGATTCTAAACCTGACCTTTGAACTTCGTTATTAGCAAGTTCGTTATTTAACCTTGTTATTTGGTCTTGCGCTATTTGATTGTTTCTTCGGAGCTCGGCCAAATTTTGCTGAGCAGCTTCGAAGCGTTCCTGAATTACACGTTTTTCGTTTTCGCTATTTGCTAAGGCTTTTTGTAGCTAAAAATAAAAAAAATTCAGAAAAATAAAGATAATAAATAATACACGTATTTACCTGTTTAAGTTTTTCTGTACTGGAATGGGAAACAGTTGAAGTTTCCATTAATGATCTTTGCAAACTTGACAGTTCCGCCTTAAGATCTGATTCGGTTGTGGAGGCTCTTTCCAACGACAAATTTAATTGGTCTATAGTCGATTTAAGAGAAACGCATCGTTCCTCCAAACTTGCTAATGATCGGCTTTGAGAATCACACTTTTCTTGTAGTTTCTGTAAAATATAGTTTAATATTTTTTTCTAAAATTTTTTTTTCTGAACATCTACCGCTATAGTTCCATCTTTTTCCTGTAACATCATTTGTAATCTTTGTAAATCTCCTTCAGTAGACATTCTTTGGAGTTCTAATTTAGTCGATCTGTTTTCAGTTCTGGCCAGCTCTTCTTGTAAACCGCGTTTCTCAGCCTCCAGTCTTGCCAAAGCCATCTTCATTTTTTCTATTTTATCCTGTAATATTTTTAATAAATAAATATAAAACAAATTACAAATAATTTGGTACTAACCTCATATTGTAATCTTTGATCGTTTCCACCACTGACTGTTAATTCTAGTGATACAACTTTTTCCCTCAAAGTTTTTGCTTCTTCAGTCTTTTTATTTAAAGCTTCAGTCTGCGATTGTAACTCGATATTTTTCTGGCCTAATTTCGCTTCTAAGCTGCCCTTTTCTTCTTGTAAGTTCCTTAATGATTGCAAAACTTTATTGAGTTTGCTGTCCCCTTTACTTTGACTTTCATGGGATTCCTGGATCTGTTTCTTAGCTGAATGAATTTGAGTCTTGTAGTCATCCTAAAATGTTACTTTTTATTTGTGGGATTAATTAATTTTATTTATAACTAACCCTTTCTCTCTCTATTTGGGCGACTTGTTGCATTAGATTCCTGACGCCTTTCCTTACAACTTCAGGATCTATATCTATCGCACCATCTCTTTCATCATGAGCTAAAAAACATAAATAAATATCTAACCTAAAATACATTTTAGATCTTACTTCTAGCAGGGCTCCATCTACGAGATGGACTCAATAATCTATACGGCATACTAACAGAACCATCCAGCTGTATTCCAGCAATTCTCCTCAAAGTAGACACAACACTACTCAATTTCTGCTCCACATCTCGCTTGGACGACTCCAATTGACCCAGCTGGGCTTCCAGTGCCCTAACTCTACCTTCAGCGCCGCCCAGTTTGGCTTTGAGTTCTTGTATTTGCTGGGTAGCATCGACTAGACAAACTTCCAGGTTGTGTTTTTGATCTTCCAGACGTTTCTCGCGACCTCTGCTGTCTTCCAGATGCACTAAAAGGTCCTGCTCTCTGGCATGCCATTGCTCCTCCAACTGGGCGCTGTGGGATCTCGTGCGACCTAGCTCTTGTCTTGTTTGTTCTAGGTTACGATCTAATTCTGACATCTAAAGAAAAAATATTAGTATCTTATATAATTTTGGTCAAGAAAGGATTCTTTTACTACACTAGATTACAGGGTTTTGTCAATTAATGTTTTTTACCTGTTTTCTTAATTGGTGCACTTCTTGGTGAGCCCTCTCTCTTTCTTCTACTTCATTCAACAGCCGAGCTTGTAGTTCTTTTTCCTCGGCTTGTTGTTGAGTGTTAGAAGCCTGGGCTCTTTGCAACTCTTCCTGTATACTTTGAGCTTTATGCTCTGCTTGTAGATAATCTTTTTCCAAGTCTCTTATTTGTCCTTGAAGCTTGTTGCGCTCATTTTCAAGAGAAAGTTTAAGATCATCCAAATCTATTGAAAACAATGTTTAAAAGGTAGGTAAATATAAAAAGTACTTACTGGCTATTTTTTGGTATGCTTCCTCTAACTGCCTGCTTTGTTCACGTTTTTCGCTCTCTGTCCTTTTTACGTGATCCCTTAATTCTTTATTAGTGTTGTGATATTTTTCTTTTTCAAAGTTGCTATCACCAAGAAGTCTTCTTACATCGGTAAGTTCTTTTCGTAAACTTTCCGAATTATTCTCAGCTGAAACACAATTATTTTAATAATTGTACATCAACACTAACATATTGCAATAAATTTACTTTCTTTGAGTTTTCTCAAAGTTTCATGAAACTGGTTACAAAAACTCTCGCTCTTGTCTTCAACTAGATGCAGCTGCACCTTGAGGTTTTCAACTTCGGCCTGCGAATTGTCCCGTTCACTTTTCACTTCTTCCAAACGTTGTTCAAGTTTAATCTTTTCATCTTCGTATCGCGACTTAGTTTCTTCTAATCTGGTTTTAAACTTGTTTAGTTCATCTTTCAATTGATTTATGTTAGCGCGGTCTTGTTCAAACCGGCCGTTTGCTTCTCTTCTAAAGCGTTCCAATGTATCTCTTTCAGCTTCTAGTTCTCTTCGTGTAGCTTCCAGTTTGTCATGAACAGCTTGGTGGTCATGATGAGCTAAAATATATTTGAAAATTAAAAAAAAAATAAACAATAAATTTAAAAACATATAAAAAAAGATTTTTAAACAATAAAAATAAAATTTAAAGCTATACCTTATTTATTTATTTAGTTAGGTAGGAAACTCTCGCACCTTGATACTTTTTTGAATAATTGAATTGTGTTTAATATTTAAACGCGAAATAAATTTAGAAACCACTCATTTTAGCAAACATTTTGATGATATCATACTTATAAATTCTATTTTAATATATGAAATCAACTGCAATATATATATTTCTTTTTAAAACACCACATACTTTATTAAGTGTGGTTTTATCATTTTTAGATAAAATTCGCAACGTGAAAATATATATTTTGTAAAAATAGATCGATTGAATATTTTTATTTGGACACTTTTGATGCCATGACTAAAAATAGATACAAATATAATTTCCTTGCAATACGCTATACAGGTAAATCTTTTTTGGTAGATCGTATAATACAAAATATTTGCATAACTACTTAAACGTAAAAAAGGTGGGATTCTATTTGTTAGTTTTATTGTTTTATGAGTTAATTTGTGATTATGAATATGTAATTTCCATAAATAATTAAATTGCGTTTTGCCCATTACAGTAACAGAATAATGTAGTTATGCAACCCAGATTTCCTACAATAAAGTATGTATACATAGCCTATGTCATAGGTAAATCTATGGAATTATAAATACTAAATATTTAAATATTCTCGAATCTGAATAATTAAAATAGAAACCAAATTACTTATTAGAGGAAAATGGAAAATAGCTTAGGATTATTTTTTGATAACAGTAAATTTACTTACCTACGTTTTAAAACGTATCAAAAATTAACACTATTAATTGTAGATACTTGAACTTTGTCATAAATTTAGCCATCACTAAGTAAGTAATCCAGGAAGCAAAAACTACTTTTTAGTTAAAACAACATGTATTTCACGTCCCAAACAAGTCATATTATGTCCGCCCTAAATAACATCACAAATATGACATCCTAAAATAACGTTATTTTGATGTGAAAGTTACGTTATTTGTAGGATTTCATAAAATAACGTTATTTTAATATCCCAATCACGTTATTTTAGGATGTCATATTTGTGATGTTATTTGGGGGGGACATATGACTTGTTTGGGACGTGAAATACATGTTATTTTAACTAAAAATAGTTTTTGCTTCCTGGGAATGGTATTTTTATTATTAATTATCATTATCAAAAATGTAGCAAAATCAAAATAACACGGCTGAAGGACTACGGTCAATAGCCTTTGAACTTGGTTTTAGTTCAATAAAGCATTATTATTATTCAAAATAACAATGGTGAAATATTTGCATTTTTATTAAGAAACAACAAAACTAATAATATTTTTATGCTTATTACGGTATATGGCCAATCTAAGATCAATTTTTATTGTGCAATTAGAGATATATATCTATATATATATCTAATTCCACAATAAAAGGTAGATGAATATTTATTTAACACCTTATAGAATATTCCATAAGGTGTTATAGAATATTAATTCACCGTTCTTGACATTGTAATGGAATAACTTGAAACAACAGGGTAGTTCCAAACTTCCTTCCAAAATCATCTTAGTCGCCTATAAAACAACTGTCAGACCGATCTAACCTAACCCAATTAAATTATTATGCTATTTTTTATTAGCGTAGACAATTTTATTTAATTAATAGTCTGAAATACGTTTGGAATTCATATTCCGCTTTCCTTAACCTTTTTCTCAAGCAGAATATACTGTATTACAAACTTGTTACATAATATACCTACCTACTATTATCTTCTCACGTATTATAATTTATTTTCAGAATGACAAGATTGCTGAAGCTATAAAAATGATTCAAGAAAATAAAATTGGTTATATATATAGCCATCTATAGATGGATCATTTTTATAGCTTCAGCCATCTTGTCATTCTGATAATTAATCAACACATATTCCAAAAAAAATTGGTAATAAAAATTCAACTATTTCAACAAACCGGTTAAAACTTTTTTTTGTAAGAACAATTGAATAGGTCAATGCAGAAACTGAATATGTCCACTTTTTAGGGATATTGAGTTAAACATGGATTTACTATAAGTAAAGGGTGCCCGATCGAATGGCATAGAAATTTCACATGTCACGGTAATCTATAGATTATACAAAGGCGTTAATATAGTAGAGAAACTGAATATGTCCAAAACATGTCCACTTTCTGTTCAGTTTTTCTTATTTATCTCAAAACTAGATAGGTAGGACATATTCAGTTTCTGCATTGACGTATTCAATTAATCATACTATTCCATTTTTGGTTACTTTCCTCTATTAATAATAATAATAATTATTAATAAAAACCACAAATATATGCATTTATTTAGAAAAACAAAGCAATATATAAAAAAAATTATATAAAAAAAGTATAAATACTAACTACTAAATTTTATATCTTACAATTATGTACCTATGTAAGATTGATGAAAAACTATAAATCGTTTAAGCTATTTCTGGAATAGTAAAAGAAACCTTTTAGGTCCCACTTAATGCTTACCTATAAGAAGAGCTTGTTGTTTGTCATTTTCAGCCCGTAACATCAGTTCCTCATGTTGTTGGCATAGGTTTTCAATATGGTTTTGCAAAGCTTCAATTCTATCGACTAATTTCTGTATTTCTGTATCTTTCTCGTTGCTCAGCTGGTGCAAAGATTGCTGCAACCGTTTTTCCAACGATGCTCTTATTTTTTCTCTTTCCTCCGTTAATTTCTTGTAATTCTCATCGTTTTGTTGTTTCAACTTGTCCACGGTTTGTTTGTATTCAATCTCCTTATTGCCGGACTGATGGGCAAAGTTATTCTTAATCTCGACACACTTTTTTTCGGATCGTTCCAAATCCTTGGTGAGTTTTCCGATTTGCGATTTCAATTGTTCTTGTTTTACCAGCAAATCTTGCTGGTCTTTTTCGAGTTGCATTTTTTTAACATCAGAAGCCTCTAAATTTGTTTGAGTATCAAACAGTACTGCCTCTAGAGCCTCTTTTTCAGATCTCACTGCGGCTAATAGTTCTTGGATGCGCTGAATTTCCTTGTCCATCGCGTCGATTGTGCATTGTTTTTCCTCGCAATCTTTTACTAATTCTTCCAGGTTTCTATTCACTCTGGCGTTTGTTTCAGAGGCTTGTTCCAAGCGTTGTCTAGTGCGAACCAACTCCTCATTGACTGCGTCACGTTTTCTTCCAAGAACTGTTAGCTGGTTGCTAAGATCGTTTCTTTCTCTTGTTGTTTGAGTTAGTTCCATTTCAATCTAAAAAATTGGCAAATTTTTTTTTTTAAAAATATGGTTAAATAATTTTAAATGGACATAAATGTTTTTGACTGATTTAATAAAAATCTGAAGCTAAAAATGTTAATGTTATATTTTTGCTATAGCAAAAAGTTATAGCGGCTGCACAGTGGTTAAACATCCCAAAAATCCGGACATCAATAAAATGTAAGTCTTATAGTGAACATGTGTTCACAAGGGTTTTATGAGGTCGCTGATTACAAATCAAAAAACAAAATGGCGGATCCAAAATGGCCGACATTAAAAAAATATATCACATTCCGTCTAAATCATGGCATGACAAATGGCCGACATTTTGAAGAAAAACAGATCGGCTTTTGTCAAAATTATAATATGTAGTTGTGGTCGCTGATCATTATAAATTAGGATAATTTTAAAATTTTTACAATTATCATTTTTCCTGGTGATTGTACATATTTTCAAACAAGTAAAAGTACATAAAATATAAAGGTTCGCGCAGGAAAGAGTTTAAATATAAAAAAAAATTGCAGATTTAAAATGGCTGACATGAAACATGAAAATGATGTGTTCAGGGGTTTTTAAGATCGTTCGACGAACATTAAATCCCTGTAAATTTAAAAAAATAGTGAATCATCGTCAGAATTACATGTATTTAACCCGGTCAACATTTAATGTAACACAGTATTGCCGTTATGTAACATAGGAGGAACATTGCAATGTAACGATGTTACTGAAAAGCAACGCAAAAGTTACCTAAAATAACGTAACATTGCAATACTATTGTAATGTAACAAAATTACCAATAAGCAATGTAACAAAAATTGTAAAAAGTAAGAAGTGTCTAATTTTACAAATAACAGATATGTATTGGTATAATAAACCAATACCAACACATATCTGTTATTTTTTGAAGTTTTTATAAATAGTTACCTTTCCTTTGTCAATTTCCAAAAACTTGCATTTTTCTGACAAGGATACTTTATCAGATTCTAGATCCAATTTTGACTGTTCTGCTTGAAGCAGTTCCTTTCGTAAGGATTGTATGTCATTTTGATGATCGTTGCATGTGTGTTGCAACGCCAATTTATCTTCCTCCAACTAAAACAATTTATTAATGTCGAATATAAAACGTGGATGCTAACTTACCCTCTTTAGGTCGTCCTGTAATTTTTTTTTGTCAAGTTCCAAATTAGAAGCAATATTTTCTTTCTTTAGTAACGAATCGTGTACGTTGGATCTCTCTCCTAGCACTTTGTCTAATTGGATTTCATAGTCAACTAAAAATATTTTATTGTAATCGCTGCACAATTTTTATAAGTAAATATATTATTTATATTACGTTTAGTTTTCTCCAAACTTGAAATCATACTATCCGCTTCTAACTTCTGCTGCTCCAACATATCATGCGATAAATATAACTTATTCAATTCCTCCCTTACTGTGAGTAACTCCTCTCTAATGCGACTGCATCTGTCTTCTTCGCCTCTCAAACTAATTTCACGTAGATCGGCGTTTTGATTGAGTCTATCGCATTCAGTCTGCAAGAACATTTTTTCGTCTTGCAATGTATCGATCTCCTTTTGCAACTTCTGGTTTTGCTTTTGAAGCTTGTCGTAGTCGGCGTTCAGAGCCTCAACCATCGCGTTTACTTCCAGGCGGTTGCGTTCCAGATTGTTTTTCTCCAATTTTACCGATTCTAGTGATTTATGTAAAACCTCACGGTCCTGATTTAACTGCGTGTTCTGAGCACGGCTTGCATCCAGTTGGGCTACCAATTCTTTAGCGCGTTTTTCCAATGCTGCTACGCTATCTTCAGAGTTTTCTAATTGTTTACGAACTAGCATAAGTTGCTCCTTATTAGTTTGGAGTTTCACCTAAAAAGATATGACAAGGTTATATACAAACCTTGTAAGTTTGATGTTTTTTGATGATGACTTACCTGTAGTTCGTGTATGAATGATTGATATTTATGCAAAGCAGCTTGCACAGCCGATATCGTACTCTCAGCAAATGCTGCTGGGGAAGTCATGCTGCGAGCTGATCTTTTTGGGGATCTATTAGTATTATGAAAGTTATGAAAGTTTAGTTTTAAAATATCTTTTACCCCCAATGTAAACTACTTACTTTTGTGGAATTGGCGTGCTTCCACTTAAATGAAGATGCGTAGCTTGTATCATTTCAGGATCTTTAGTTTCAGCGTCTTGAATAAGAGCGTGCGCAATATCACGCAAAGCTCCTTGTAATATGTCGATTTCTTCTTGCATTTTGACTACTTGGCCGACATTGTGTTCTGCATCGGCACATCTGTCCTCCTAAAACATAAAAAATTGTAGAACACATTTAAAAAAATATATTCAATTTAATTCTACCAAATTTTGAACATCTCTGAGCAATTGTTGGATTCTATCTTCTTTCATTTGCAGCTCATTTTGATAGGTGCTGTGTTGTAGTCTTAAACTATCGATTTCTGATTTTAGTTCTGTATATTCTTGATGTTTTTCGTTTTTTAGTTTTCCCTAAAAATTATTTATTTTTTATAAAATTACAACACAATAAATAAACGATTCTTACACCAAGAATTTGTTCGGTAAATATATTGCTATCCATCCTGCTGCAAGCCAAAACCATTTCCTTACCCATGCCGTTAACCTCAGATTTAATTTTATTCAAATCCCTTTCCGTATTAGATTGCACGTCCATAAAAAGTCTCTTGACAGAAACAACGTCCCTCCAAAGATTTAATAACCTATTATGTTCAGTACTGTAATAATCATTAAATGCCTGCTCCTCATCCTTCCATTCGTCTTCTTTAATAAGCATTTCTTCTCTCATCGCCTCCCAGTCGTTGGTAAGTTTCTGCAAATCAGCAGTTAAAGCTTCGTTTGTACTATGAGATTCCTCGAGCTGATCTCTTAAAGTCGAATTTAGTTGTATCAACTTCTCCGATCTCCTTTTTTCTTCTTCCAATCTTCTTAAGGCTGTGTCCAGGTCGCTTATTCGTTCCTCTCTTAGCTCTCTTAAGTGTTGTTGAGCCTGTTCCAAAGCGGAACTAGTGGAAGAAGTTGAAGGAACTAATGGGTATTGTATTTTTAAAGACGACGGTTGCTCAAAAGTGGTCGGGTTGTCCACCATTTGGGCCTCCAGATCGGCACATCGTTGCTTGTATTGAAGAACCTAAAATATCACAGCGAAAATTAATCAGCGGGCAAGGTTGGTAATATGATAATCTCTTTTGAACAACAAAGTTTGACCAATATAATTGTTTTAGACTGCCAAGCGTTAGCAAATGATTACACTATGTAACATGATATTTGTTTATCTGGATTGTATTGTGCCAAACGTAGTAGGCTAGGATCCTGATAACATTTTATCATTTATTTTTATCAAGCTGTCAAATCTAGACCTGACAGCTATTTTATGTTGTTTTGGTCTTTATGACTAGTGTTTAATGTTTATTTTTGCTTTAAAATGTCATCCAGACGAATTTCCTCGAGTTTTTGTTATGTTTGTGGTCACTACTGAGGAGATCTGCAAATACCCCCCTACTAAACAATCCGTGGGTTATTACGATTCTAATTGTTTAAAATAAATGTATTCAAAAAGTCATGTAACTTTTAAAATTTAGCGCGAAGTTGAAATGTATTTGACGTACCGAGTGCCGAACGATTGGATAGACGGATACTCCTGTTTAGGTGGGAAAAGGAAGGGGAGAAGAATGCCCGTAGTCAAGTTGGGAAGGGAAGAGCGGAGATTATTCGAGAAGAGCGCGTGCAGCGACAAGAGGTGTAAAATTGTGTGTGAGGAAATAGTGGCGTAAATTTGTAGGTTTGTACATTTTAATAACTAAATTATTGTAGTATAAATATTCTCGAACATTTTGGTATAATTATTTTACACAAATACCTTGTGTAAAGATAAATATTCCATCATTTGACTTGGAGTCATAGATCGATCTATTCCGCCATGATGGCTACCGTTTTAATAAACCACGCCCGTAATCGACATGAAATAAATTTGCCTTAGAACTATCTCGTATTTTAATTTGGATTCTAAGTTATAAACAATTGGTACTTGATTTTATCTAATTAAAAGAGCAGGGTTGTGCGGATTTTTTGATGATGACTTACCTGTAGTTCATGTATGAATGTTTGTAGGATGTCCCTTTCTTTCAGAAAATTAAGTTAAATGTCGTTTGGGTTGCGGTTATTGTTGTTGCTTTATCCAAATAAATTTCATTATTGTTTGTTATAAATTTTAAATATTTTATACGTTTAACTCTCTCCCATAATCCCTCATTTTGGAAGGTTTTATGAGCGATATTTATACAAAAATAAAGGGGAGCCTTCCGGGTGTTTGACCTGAGTTCAAACGTAATTAATTGTCTTTTATTTACTGTATTTATTATTTCTCTTTTAATACTTTCCCCATGAATACAACACCTCAAAAGTACATTGGGTTACTAAATTAATGAGCTTTATTACCGTAAGTATTTATTTTATTTATTTGTCGTAATTTAATATAACATTTGCCGGGGTGGTATATTTCATTTTTCACTTGGGGTATAACTTTTACAGATTCTTTGCTGAGGGGGAGTTTGTACGCTTACCCTACATATAAAAAAAAATTGAAATAATGCAGAATACAAAGCTTTGGGACGCCTATGAATGATATTTTGGCATGACTTTTGCCGACAGAAATTGGACACCAAATGTAATTTTTGGCAGCAGTCGATCAACTCTTATGGTATAGAGAAGAGAACAGGAAAATGCCTTTTGGCATTCCAAGAATTTATTTAAAAAAATAAAAGGTTTTAAACTATGATGAAGCCCTTTAAAATCGTATTTAAATCGGTACTGTACTTTTGCTTGAAGTCTGCTAACTAATGCAGCTTGGTTTTGTTGCGCTTGCCGGTATGTGTCCAATCTTCTTTTGTACAAGGAGGCTTCTTCTTGAAGTCTTTGTCTCAAATCTGTTCGCATTGAGTCTTCATCGCTGCTTCCGCCGCCTCCGTCTCCTCTTAAACGACCACCATCTGTCCTGCTTCCGCTTAAACTCGACTACAATAATAAATATCATTAGAATTTTTGTTAAACTTTCTTAAGTTTCGAAAACTACTTTGCATCTATGAAAGGGTTCGTGGCATTTCAAGCTCAAACAACAGAAGGATCTCGGACGACGATAGGCTGCCGAATGGACAACTTTGGACCTTATGCGGCATAGCAATGTCCTTTTGGATGTTTTTCGGCGTTCTTAAGGATGTCCGATTTCGGTCCATTTCTTTGACAATGGATTCTCTGCAGAGGTCGTTCGGTAGCCTATTGGCGTCCGAAATCCTTGTGTTGTTTGGGAGTGTTGATTGTTTTGAATTTGTTCAAAATTAACAAAAATCACGCAAATTGGTAAAGAAAAACAAAAAGAGATGAGATTGACATTCAAAAATGAAAACTGAAATTATCACAACTTTATTATTATTAACAAATTTTATTTTTTTTACCTCTTTAGATAATGTTTCCTTTTATGTAAAAAAGTGACGTATTAAAAAATATTTCTATTAGTTTTAAGCCATAGGAATGATCCATTAAATATTCAAAAAGTGGGCCACCCACCCTTTACACCGTGGTTCAATTCTTTTTTGTAGAGCTTATCAATTTTTTTAATTAAGAAATTAATATTTTTTTTATAAAAAAAAATTTCGCCAATAAAAATAATTTAGTTTTGAAAACAATAAATTCCACTGCGCAAATTTTTAATATAATTTTCCTGAAAAATTACTCGTCGAGCAGTAGTTTCATTCTTTTAAGAATATTTAAAAATAAAATAATAATAAAATAAGTAAAAATTTTTTTATTTAAACTGCGCGTCAAAATTAACGCATAATAGATAAAAAAATTCTAACTCTAAAACGCCCTTATCAATCTTTATAAATAGTATTTTATGTATCAAGTTTGATAAACGCCATTTTATACACGAATTTAATTAAATTAATGAGTCTATAGAAAAGTTTATAAACGAGGTGCATACTATACTTTTTCTACGACAAATACTTATTATCTTAAAATGATTTAAATCCAAAATTTGTATAGAGCGCCATCTATGAAACAATAGGGGAAACTGTGTGTCACCGTCAAATGTCACATTTTTACATTTTATTAACACAATTATAAAGGTTATAAATCAAAATGTATTTCTTGAAAATTGACAATTTTTCACAGAGAAAGTAAAGAAAATGTTTTATGAGGACTTTACAATATAGTCCGTGCCCGAATTTAAGTTATAGTTTACTGCCGGCGAAATTATAATTGAATATTTGAAAAGTTTATATGAACATTGAAAAGTTTATATGTCCCTTTTATAAAAGGTCAGTACAATGTTCATATAAACTTTTCAAATATTGGCGTTGAGAAACTATTTAATATTTTTGTATTTTTGTATTAAGATAATAAAATAATTTTCACATTTAGTATTATTTTACTAGAAAGGCACTTTATTTTAACGATTGTATGACATTGACAACTGTCAACTAACTTCAGCCCGTGACTAAAAACCAGTTGCTAACTTCAGCCCGTGACTAAAGCGCCATAAAGCCACAACTTGTTAATGTGTATTTAAAAGGTCACTTAGTGTCATGGAAACATGTCGTTTTAAAGGTGGGAGTAGAAAAAATACTTTAACTTATATCTCAGTTTACTTATTCAAGGGTTTTTCGAAAAAATATCCTTAAAGCCCTTTTATTTAATAATAAAAAAAAACGTTCGAAAAAATAATTTTATAGGGAATTTTTTTTAAGTAAGTAAGAAATATGCTGTGAAATACCGTATTTTTGTAAGTATACCCTGAAAATGTTGTACAAATCAAACGAACAGTAACAAAAATACAGCGCTTCAGTCGTCAAAAATGACCACTTTTCAGCAAAATAATCAAAAAGGGGTCATTTTTACCGACTTTGAAGCGCTGTATCTTCGTTATTGTTCGTTTGATTTGTACAAAATTTCCTTAAAAAAAAGTTATTTTTTGAATGTTTTTTTTATTATTAAATAAAAAGGCTTTAAAAATATTTTTTTGAAAAACCCTCGAACATATAAACTGAGATATAAGTTGAAGTATTCTTATACAAAATTTAATAAAGATTGGTGAAGGTGTTTTAGAGTTTTTTTTTACTTATTATGCGTTAATTTTGACGCGCAGTGTATGAAAAATATAAAAAATTATTCATTGACCAGAAACTGTGCTACTTTTATAATTTTTGACGGCATTTTTTGATTAAGTGGAGAATTTAACATAGGAATTAAGTATAAAATGTTCGATTTTTATTTGTTCACTTTTGTAATCATAAGGAACAGTTTGTGCTTTACCCTTAAAAAACCTGGTATTTACAAAATATTATAACAACAATGTAACTACAAATACACTTAATGTTACTTAATTATAATATCATTAAATAGTAATTTAAAAACATTTAGGTAATATACTTACATCAGTCCTAGACTTTGGCCTATAAATTGGGGGCCTTCTCCTATCTCCCATGGTTATTTTGGGTTGGGAAACTTTTTTAACCGGTGACTGTAAAAATAAAACAAATTGCAATTAAGTCAAAATTTGTCAAAACATTGAATAAACGAACCATCACGGACAAAGATTGTCAAAAATAATTTACATAAAAATGTTATATCATAAATGTTATATTATAAATTAGAGTGCATTAGTAGTGATTCGGTAAAAAATACGGGCTGATGGAAGGCATTAAATGTCTAAGGTTTCCGAAAGGAAAAACGCATGGGACTAAAAAGTAACTTAGTAGGCTCACGTGGGAGACACGCAAGTGTCTCTGCCAGGCACTGGCCACCCTCTTCAGCTGGTTTTTCTTCGATATATACCTCCTATCCGTAAATGCGTTTTGCCATTTAAAGGGGCAACGGAAATTAATTGGTTTATTTAAAAGTTTCCCTTCTAAATACCTAAGACAGTCTAGTAAAGGGTGTTTAAATTTAAGCTTACTTTTTAAAATTTTAATAACAATAAGTCAGTGTACCTACCCAAGCAGCATTTTTGGTTCCAAAAACCATTACCAAAGTTGTGATAACTTTAAATTAGTTAGGTATACTAAATTATAGTTAAGTATACTAAACAGCTACTTTAATTTTTACTTAAAAGTAGGTTTCTACCTAAATATTACATTATAATTATTTTTGTAGTCCCTTTGCAAGTTAAAACATCGAAACTGGAACATGAGTTAAAAACTACAAAGTTAATAACTTAAAAGTTAATATTTTAGTATTTGGAACGTTTATGGTACTAACCAAAATTACCGTAAAGTAAATTAAGGTGGAAAAAAAACTTTAAAGTAGCGAAAACTACTTCAAAGGAAAATGCTTCTTATCGGCCATTTTTTACTGTACAGTACCACGTGGTAATGTAAATAATAAATTATTTTAATTGTTTGTAAATGGTTGTTTACTTTTTAATAAATAGTAATTTTGTTGGTAATAGACGGTATTAATAATTAAATAAAAAAATAATAATAAATATTACAATTTTTTTATTTATAAACATTAATAAATAAATAATTTGTTTATACTTAAATTTTGATGAAGCGCATTTATTTTACAAAAACTAAATTCATACGTTCAACAGTAAATTTTAAAGGGTTTATAAATTTACCTGCCTAATCAAACAACGATATTGAAACGTTCTAGTAACGTAGGAGCTACGATCCAAATAGTAGGAGGGTTTATAGCTAGTGATATATTTGTTACCTTTTTGGAACTCAATAATTGTTCCCCACTTTAGTCGTAACTTAGTAATGAAAGAGTAATATAAAGAGACCGGCGACTGTTGCAAAACACTTTAAAGTTTCTTCAATAGTCCCACATAGGGTTGAGAAAATTTATTAAAATTTCCTAAATTTCTGAAATTTATGAAATTTATTTAAACTTCCAATAAATTTCACTTTAAGTGTTATATATTAATATTGAAATAAGCCCACTCGGGGACCATGGCAAATTGCCTCTCTTACCTCCTACCCCTCTGTGGGCCCCTGTACCAATAATATAAATAGTAAATACCTATGTTTACCACAAATTTCTTAAGATTTCCTTTTAAAATATTTTTAAAATTACTAAAACTAAAAGAGATATAGCACTTTTTGGTAAGCTAATGAAATTTTGTCACTTTCATTGTTTTATATTTATTATTTTTATATATTTTACTGAAATTTTACGAAAATTGAAGAAACTTTATCAAAATTTTATGAGCCAAAGGCATTTTTTATCCGTTTTCCGATGCAATTATAGCAAAATAAAAGTAAAAGTTTAAATTAATCATGACTTTAAAAAAAAAATTAAAGTTCTGTTTTATTTACAAATTAAATTGGAAACTGAATTAAATTATTTAAATTAATTTATGCATATAAGTAACAATAATTACTTAGAGTGTATTCAAATCCAAGCCGAACCAAACAAAAACGCCCAGACGCTTGATAACTCGTTCTTATTGGTCGATTCAGAATCTGTTGTAAATTATTATTAAAGGCCACATGTGAAATTTATGCGAAATTTTCACTAGTAATACCACTAGAGGTCAAATTATTTCCGGAAATTTTTTCGAGCTCATGAATATTTTGAAAATTATCCCGAGTCGAAGACGAGGGATAATTTTCTAAAAATATTCATGAGGGAGAAAAAATTTCCGGATTTAATTTGACCTCGTGTGGTATTCGGTAAGAAAATTCCACACCAAATTGTGTTTAAATAATTAAAATTTATTTTTTGATTTAACTTGACCTCGACTTGATTATTTAGTTACCATGGCAACTAAGTCAATCCCAACCTAAAAGTTATTTCAATTTTGAAGCTGTCAAGCGGCACGACGTAAAAAAATGTGAAATTGTCTGCTGTAATGATCAATCATCGTGCAATGACTTATTTACCCGCATTATTAGAGGATTGTGGCTCCTTCTTGAAGAAAGAAAATTTGTTTTGAATTGTTCACGAATATTTGCATCTTAACTATTCAAAACTCAAAGTGCTAAATGGAAAAAAAGGTGAATAGAATAGTGTCTAAATATTATATATATTTCATTGGACATAGACATTTAATTTATTTCAATTCCTGCATTTTCGCCATTAAGAAGAAAGGAGGTGTCCAACGAATATAGAAATGTAAACAAATAAAAACCAGATTGTCAAAAAAATATTCTGTCATTATAAACGTCAAAAAATTTCCAGTATAATTCGCTGTTGGGTAGGTACCCACGAGGAAAAAATTTCCACTAAAATTCAACCGTTGCCATGGTGATCTATCAAAAATACACGTTTTGATTGGTTAAAAATTACAGGTGTGGAATTTTCAATAAAATTTCTGAAAGTTTCACAGGCAATGTTGAAATTTTCGGATTGAAAATTTCATTTGAAATTTTTAAAAATTTCACTTTTCCAACTATTTATAAATGAAATATTTCAAGTTTGAAACTTTCAAAGTTGAAATTTTCTTTTGAAAATTTCAACTGTCCCAACCCTAGCCCCACATAAAATTTAAAAAGCAATTCTTAAATTAAAAAAATATTGAACAAGATCAGCAACTGTTTCTCAATTAAATGTTCTGTATCATACATTTCAAAGAAACGTATTTTGTGATGTTAATTAATTGTTCTGTTTTAATTCCGTAATCTATAAAAGATGAACTTTGTCCCGTGCTAAGAGCACAAATCAATATTCACCAGACACTTTCTATAAAAATCTTATTTATGGGATTAAATTCCATTTACAGTTGGATTTCATTCAAATCAGCTGATAAGGACTTTAGTCGTCATTACTAAAGAGCGGATTTATAAGCTAAAAATATTATATTAAGAACGGTTTATATGTCTTGACAAGAATAATACTAATATTTAAATTATTGATATACAAGGTGTCCCTAAACTTAGTGGCATAAATTTAGGAGCAGATTAAGCAAGTCAAAATAAGACGAAAACTTAAATAAATATTTTTCCTAATTACTTATGTTTCCAAGATACAGGGTGATAAAGTGTTACTTAACAAATTATGATTGCATCTGCCATAGCTCATTTTCAAATATTCATGGTCCATTTTTGACATCTGCTATTTTTGTCACTTATTAAAAAGATAATAACAGATATCAAATATAACACGTGTCAAAATCATCAAATCGCATTTTGTCATTCAAAATAAATTTTTAGAAAAAAGCCAAAAATTTGTTTCTAATAATTATAGCAACCTGTTTTTGGCTTTTTCCCGAAAATTTATTTTGAAGGACATAATGCGATTTGTAAAGTTTTTTTCAAAAATATTTTTTAAGATGCCGCTCGGGACGCCACTGGGCTTAATAAATGTTATCAAGTTAGAGCTATAGCTAGTATAAGTATATATACTTAATTATTTGTAGCACTGCCAAATAACAACAAAATTGGGTAAAGGATATTTAAGATATTTACGAAAAACCAATTAAGATTAACACCTTGTATCTTGAAAACGAAGCATTTGCGAACTCATATTCATAGGAAGTTTTTGTCATAAAGTTCAATCAAAGAATCGTCTGTTAAATTTGTTGTACATACTTAACACCCTATATATTAGATTTGGAGATTTAAAATATTGATGGCATTTTAATTTAAAACTAGGCGATGGAAAGGAAAAATCTTACTACTAATTATTTCCAGAAAAACTTCGTTTTCGTGTTGAATTTTTTTTAAATTATCTGATTTTTCCTAATATCTATAAAACCTTATTCCGATTTTTTTTAATTCGGTGTATCCAGCTTTTGATGTATTTAGATTTAATCTATTTATTCCAGTGGCGTCCCGGGGGCATCTTGGCTGTTATTTTAAAGAGAAGATCCAATTAAATTCTTTTAAACCCCTCATTCAAATATTGGTCAGAAAAATATAAAAATTAATTGAAAATGTACTTAACACATACACAATACACCATTAAATCTACAGTGTAGATATCTATTTAATGGACTGAACTTTACTCTTGTGTTTGCAAGGATTCTCGTTACAATGTCCGTTTAATGCCCTGATAGTTTTAAATTATTAATTCATAAATTATTTATATAAAGAATAATGCAATTTTTAACATTAAGAGATAAACTTTTATTAACACTGTTTAACAGAAAAAACTTTATTTTTTAAACTCGTGTTTTATCATGATTACTCAACAAATTTTGAAACCTTGGGCTTGGATGTGGTAATTTAAAACATTTATAAAAATTTAAAAAAACATAAACGGTAGGGGAGAGTGGGGAGGGTGTGGACACTGGGAGACAATGGACAAATTTCGCGATTCCAGTAAAAATTTCAGGTTGGTTCTACTATTACAGATCGTCAAGTTGGTAAGGTATCAAATAGTGGAAGTGAAATAAGTTTGAGTTTAGCTGTAGAAGAGGTAAGTGGAAAAGTTTATTTTCGAGTTCGAGTTTTCATGTAATATTTTACTTTCCCCTTGTAAGCTTTTCTGCTCAGACCGTTGTAGATAAATAATTTAAAGTTACTACATATTAAAGCATGTATAAAGCATGGAACTTTTGTTATATCCTTACTTTAT